TAAAGGGACACTTTCACATTTGAGTTTCTAAAAAAAAAATACAAAAAGTGCCTCTTTTTTAGGTGCTTATTATAACACAGACGTCATATACAGATATTTTATGAAAATTCAAAGGGTTTTCTTTGAAATGAAACCAAATTTTAGCATTTACACCTCTGCATGTGGATTTGGGAAGCTTTTAAATTTGGGTAGACAAAATCCAGGCGGAAATTCCTAAATAGCAGCAGAGTTTAAGAGGTTAATTCTTTTTCATCTGTAAAAATATTTGTATATTGCTGTACATCCTGTGTGTTTTAAGAAATGTGTAAGTGAGGCGCACAACTAACAGTCTATTTTAGCTCCTCAAAAAAAGCAATGCACCATCAATGCGCCTTAACACACCTCTTTTCTACACTGAAACACTCATCAGTCCACAAAGTGGCGCAAATGGATTGCATGGTTTTCTGCTACATTCATTCTTCCATGGCGGGGCGCCATACCAAAATTCATCCTGCCACGACTACATTACAGCTTCTCATTAATTCAAAACATTCATTCATTGTTGTTGTTGTTTTTAATAGTGGGTTATAATCGCATTGAACGCATTAAAAGGTAAGTGAATTATAACAGTGCGAACTTTACTGTAACCGTAGTAGTGCTGTGCGCCATGTGTTTAACACTTTAAGTTGACATGCTGACAGACAGACTGACTTACTGACAGCTGCGCGATGCATGAGTCCAGCAAACACGACGTAGCTTTCAGTTAAGATGATCACAGTTTCCTAATTATACTTTATTTCCAGATAAAGGTCTGTGATTCTGCATACAAAGACTTTAACGTTATCTTGCTGGAGTTTACTGCCATTTCACTTTACTTCAGGACGCATTAATCCCACACTCTAGGTCTATTGGAGACATTCATAAATATTCCTAGCAAATCTAATAAATGTTGGAGACAGACTCACTACATAAATGCGCTAAATCGCACTTCATCAGTGTTTATCTGAGAGCGCACAAGAAGATCTGCGCTTGATAGCCTGTTTGTGGGCGTGCAAGAAGCTTTGTGCACGAGCAGAGGAAATCGGCGTGTAAGCAGAGATTGGCATGCTCATATTACCCTTACATAAATGCGATCCCGACGTGTAATACTGCGCTCACCACATTTCTCCATTGAAATAACGGCATAGGTAGTTGGTTGATTTGTGTAAAAGACCTGCTGCCACAGCTGGAAAACGTTCTAGAGGAAACACTGGATTTGCTATTTAAACAACGTGACAGAAAACAGGACAATTATGGTTGCGTTGGTCTAAAAAAAAAGCAACATGTTATGGAAAGATGTCTTGTGCTTTATTGTGCCGGGTATAATAATGGCTGCCAAAGCATATTTAGTGACATGTTTTTTTTACTATTATTATCATTCTTTTATACTTCTTTTGTATCAGCCCAATATAAACAAACATCTGCAATCGATTAATTCAATTCAATTCAATTCACCTTCATTTGTATAGCGCTTTTACAATGTGGATTGTGTCAAAGCAGCTTCACATAGAAGATCATAGTAAACTGAAACGGTGTCAGTTCAGTTTTCAGTGTTTAAGTTCAGTTCAGTGTGGTTTAATAATCACTACTGAGAGTCCAAACACTGAAGAGCAACTCTATATCCAGATTAAGTAGTGGAAAAACCACTCTCATTTACATGTTTCATTTCTGTGTGCATGAGACCTGTCAACACTCACACAGACAGCCCCCTCACTTATACTAATGTGCCACAAACAGGACGCTAATATCACCAACCATTCCCATTTCATTAAGGTGTATCCATATAAATGGCCCACCCTGTACATTAGATTGTAAAAGAAAATATTCAGGTGTAGTTTTTAAATAAAATTGATTAAAATAAACAAATAAAAGTGAACATGAGAACAGAATTAGCTGGTGATCTTTGTTAAAAAATAATCTGTTTTCCAGCCGTTGTGTGTGTAGATGAGCTCCAGCAGGAGGCGCTGTGTGTGTGTGTGTTATTTCTCCTCAGGTTTTCTGACTGATCTGCTTGTGTTTGCAGGGCAGTTTTCACCTGGCCTCTGCTAAACTGCAGCAGTACGTGTATGAAACCGTCACCAGGATCTTCAGACGACACGGTGAGCCAATCAAAACTTGTGTGTTCAGATCAGGTTCATACAAATACAACTAAATTCGCACTCCTGCCAAATCTTTATTCTTATATTTCCCAAGGTCTGTGTAAAAGCTCATTTTCACAGTCGCCTTTTTAAGCCCAAATCTCAAAGTAAACTCGAATTTACCCGGGTCAGAACCCAAACCAGGGATCACAAGGAGGAATCAAAGGAATCATTAGAGTCTTTTGAACTGATTCATTAAATCAAATGCATCTTTAGGGTGAACTTATTAGCCATTCTGTACAATATTTAATTATTCTTTTATAATGTTGAACAGATTCAGAGTAAGAGTTTTTACAGTGTTTCCTCTAATATTTGTTCTTCTGGAGAAAGTCTGATTTGTTTTATTTCAGCTAGAATAAAAGCAGTTCTTAATAGTTTTAAAGCCATGTTAAGGTCAATATTATTCGCCCCTTCAGCAATATTAGTGTTGGATTGTCTCCAGAACAAACCACTGTTATACAATGACTTGCCTAATTACCCTAACTTTACCCTAATTACTCTAGAGAAGCCTTTACATGTCACTGTAAGCTGAACACTAGTGTCTTGAAGAATATCTAGTCTAATATTATGTGCTGTCATCATGACAAAGAGAAGTTATTAGAGATGAGTTATTAACACTATTATTATTAGGGATGTGTTGTAAAAACCCCACTATGTGTTAATGCAGAATTAAATGGCTTTGCAGTGTGGCTCAGTATGATTATCAAATAAGATTATAATATATTAAATACATGCATACATCTTTACACCTGATCGAAAAATATATACACAATATTATTAATATATATATTTGAGTGTAAAGAGTGGCAAGCTAACCTGCAGAGGGTTTTATTCACCAGCAATGCACCAAAATAAAGTTAATATTTGACAATAAAGAAGTACAATTATTTATTCCTTCCTTCATTTTCTGTTCGGCTTAGTTCCTTTATTCATCCCGCCACAGTGGAATGAACCGTCAACTTAACCAGCATATGTTTTGCCACAACCCAGTACTGGGACACACACAAACACACACACACACACACACACACACACACACACACACACACACACACACACACACACACAAACACACACACACACACTCATACACTACGGCCAGTTTAGTTGATCAGTTCCCCTATAGTGCATGTGTTTGGACTGTGGGGGAAACCGGAGCACCCGGAGGAAACCCACGCCAACACGGGGAGAACATGCAAACTCCACACAGAAACGCCATCTGACCCAACCGAGGCTTGAACCAGTGACCTTCTTGCTTTGAAGCCACAGTGCTAACCACTGAGCCACCGTGCCACCCAAGTACAATTGTAATATACTAATATTTTGTAACCCTTACGACCAGTGGTGTAGTCCTAAGCATGAGATGGTGCACAATTACCCACCCAGCCCACATTTTAAAAGTAGGCCAAGAACGACAAAAAGAAACAACAAAAGTTTTTCAGTTTTGTTTCTGTGTGTGTGTGTGTGTGTGTGTGTGTGTGTGTGTGTGTGTGTGTGTGTGTGTGTGTGTGTGTGTGTGTGTGTGCATGTGTGTGTGTGTGTGCCTGCATTCCTGCTTATGTGTGTTTTTGTGCATGTCTTTGTGTGCGTGTTCATATATATGTGTGTGTGCTTGTGTGTGTGTGTGTGTGTGTGTGTGTGTGTTTGATCACATGTACTGTTGTAATGCATGCATGTGTGTGTGTGATTTGTGTGATTTTGTGCATGGGTGTGCATGTGCTTGTGTGTGCATATGTGTATGTGTGCACACTTGTGTGTGCGCGCGCATATGTTCTTGCTTGCTTGTGTGTGTGTTTGTGCATGTCTGTGTGTGTTTGTTCATGTGTGCTGTGTGCATATGCTTTTGTGTGTGTTCTTGCTTGCGTATGTGCGTGCGTGTTTGCATGTGTGTGCGCATGTGTTTGTGTGCATGCGTTTGGGCGTGTGTGTGTGTACACGTGTGTGTGTCTGTGTGGGTGTGTGTGCATGCTTGTGTGTGTGTGTTTTTGTGGACGTGTGTTTCTGCGCATGTGCTTTTGTGGGCATGTATGTATATGTGCGTGCTTGTGTGTATGCATGCATGTTTGTATGTGGCTGCATGTGTTCTTGCTTGTGTGTGTGTGTGTGTGCGCGTGTGTGTGTATGCGTATGCGTGTGAATGGGTGTGTGTGTGTGTGTGTGTTCAGGTGCAGTGCGTCTGCAGACACCGTTGCTCTTGCCCAGGAACAGGCGTCTGTATGAAGGCTGTGAGACGGCGTGTTTCATGGATCACAGTGGCATGCTGGTCTCTCTGCCGTATGACCTCAGGGTGAGACACACACACACACACACACACTCACTCACAGAATCAGTCTGAAGAGGAGGAATATATGAGAAATATAAGTAAATTAATGATGATTAAAAGCATCTCTCTCTCATCAGCTGGCGTTTGCTAGATTTGTGGCCAGAAACAACATCTCACATCTCAAAAGGTACAACTCTCTCTCTCTCTGTGCACATCACTGTCTGATATTAAAGGGCAGCTATGATGAAAATCATCTATTGTGAGCTGTTTGGACAGAGCTGTTTGTAGTATAGTGTGTCCACAGTCATATTGGGCTGATAGAAACACAATAAGCCTCTTTTTTAAGACTTCCTGATGTTAAAATAGGTTGTAAAGCCCTCTCATTTTGAGGCCGACTGCAACGTGACGTAGGAGTGCGGTTTCCCCGCCCACTGAATTGATCGACAGCCACGTATTAACATTCTCCGTAGAAAGGCGTATAATCATATCAACAAGACAGGACGTGCGCAGAGCAACCGGGATTAAAAGATCTGTTCAGCTCTCTGTGATCATCAGTCATCAAGAGTGAGTTTCACAAGTTTACATGTGTTTAAATCACAGCGATTTTACAGTCTTTATCAGCACAGCTGCATGTCAGCACAATTATAAAGGAAGACGCTTTAATCCCAGGCCCCGATTACACTAATGCGTTTTAGTTTAATAATGGATAAGTTTTGCTACGGTTACGCCAACCGTCCACACTACGCCGGAGTTCTCGAGCGCCGAATACGGAGCGTTGCGAAAACGCTGGAGAGGCCGTTTTCATTCTGAAACGCTGCTGCTCCGTCTCAGTGTGGATGATGGAAAACGGAGACATCTGAAAACGGAGGCGGGGCTGCAGACATTCGCCTCTCTGATTGGGGCTTTTCCTGAATATTAAGTAGCCTACAAACAGTTCAGTCCTGCATTCTCTCCATGTAAGTTCAGACTTCGCAAGTTTGATCAAGGCTGCAGTCTCTTCTTCTCAGTTTGATATGGAAAACAGATTATACCGAGGACACGGGTAAATCTTCAAAGGGAACAGTGTACTTTATAACTTCATTCACATCACCCTGGCTACGTTGTTTCACTTTCTCAGCAATAAAATGTAAACATGATTTAAGGAACTGCCTATTTTCATTTTAATATTAGCAACTTAACAGACAGCAGAAATGTTGAGGCGCCGTGCTGCATATATGAGCGTCATCTTCACTGTGTGGATATTTATAACAAAACAACAATCTCTAACAACGGCCTCCTTTCAATCTCAGTGAAAATACGAAACCCTCTCTTTTGCTGAATATCAGTTTTAATAATCGATAATGGCCATTATAAAAGTATAACACAATAAGTTTATACATTATAGGAATTAAGGCAAGCGATCAGTCAATATACAGAATAGGCTACGTGCTTACATTAATCATTAATTTATCTTTGCGCTCAGCCAAAACACGTTACCTGAGAACAAGTAATAGATTCCAATGACCAAAGTCAGGGAATATGTCGTTAGACAAAGACAACAAGATGAATTAAATATCACGTTTAGCAAATATAGTGAGATTAGATCCAGCGGGAGATGCTTGATGAGAAGTCCGACAAGCAGAGCTCTCATCTGGGTAGATGGGCTGCAGCGCTTGCCCGAGAGTGTGTGTGTGGTCACGTGTTGTGCGTTTTCAGCGTTTTGGTGTGGACAGAGAGCAGTTCAGAAACGCTGGGTAAAACGCGAGTGTGGACGCGGATCGTTTTCATTCTACAACGCCGTTTTAAAACTAAAACACACTAGTGTAAACGGGGCCTCAGTTTGTAGACGTTAAAGGGCCATGAAAGCCCCTTGTTTCAGCAGGGTGTTTTCACACCTCTACTTTGGAAAAAGTCAGGAAAGTGGGCGTGTCCAGCTCTGTTTAGGGGGAGTGTCGGAGGAGGGGAAAGCGGGAAGGTCTGTAAAAATGTGCATAAAAATGGGGAGTGTCGGTTTGGGCACGCGCTGATTTTCACAGAGGCAAAACACACACAGACGCAGAGGAGACAGACAATGACTGTGTTTACATGGACATCAGTAATCAAATTATTTGCCAAATTATTAAATGGTGGACTTTTAGATTTTAGCATTTACAGCAGATCTTTCAGTCCATAATATTGTAGTGATGTTAACACACTGTAAACTTTATTAACTTAGAAATCATTTGACTAAGGTCTGTCTTTAAACACTGAAAGAGTACTGCTGACCATACCAACTCACTTTGCCTCTGAATAAACAAACAAAAACCACTAGTCGATCCCTTACCAAACCTGTAGAGACAGGACAATCAGCACCAACTGGAGCAGCATCTTTATTAAGAGAAGATGAGCTGCAAATCTGGATTTCACCATTAAAAGATGGGAGAAGCTCTCGGGTAAACAATGTTCCTTAGACATGTATTTCTGTGCACTGATCCACAGGTGAGTCCAGCTGCGCTCTCATAGCGGGAAAATGAAAACAAAACCTTCACTGCAGCACATTATAAAAGCAACACTGACGACCTGTATCTCCAAACAATTCTTGTTTTCTCGCTTGGCAACACAACATGTCGACTCCCTGCCGTCTGAACACTGTAACTGTAACTTCGAAGCTAGCATGCATATTAATGAAGTTGCACCGCATACATAATAGAGCACGCTGATTGGTTTGAACCAAGCCTTACTCATGCATTAATGCAGCACACTCAGAGACGTCATAAGGAACTCCCAGGTACAGACGTCCAGTCTACATGCTGGAATACACGCTAAGATCTCATGGCTGTGACGCAGCTTCAAACACTAGTTTCAAACCGGAAGAACACATTTGCACGATATAACGCAAAAACAACCATTTTTCACTTTTTAGTGAAATATAGGTGTCCTAATAGTGTTTATAGCAGTGTGGGACACATATACCACTGACAACAGCTCAACACATGTGTTCTGGTGTTTCGTGACCCTTTAAATCAGGTTTATTATGTACATTAACATAACACTTATCCATACAGCAGTGGAGATTAATGTGTATCCTGTCACCTTTGCTGTACAAAAACAGTGCAAAGTGTGTGTGTCTGCTGTGTGTGTGTGTGTGTGCATGCGTGAGAATTCTAATAACATTGTGTGTGACTCATCATTGCAACTCTGTGTTCTTGAGGCACAAAAGACTTATCTTAAAGGGCACCTATTGTACCACTTTTTCAAGATGTAATATCAGTCTTTTCTGTCTCCAGAATGTGTCTGTAAAGTTTCAGCTCAAACATCCATCAGATTACCCATTAGAGCTATCAGAATGTTGGATTTTCTGCTCTGAACACCTTGTAGCCGTGTTTGTGTGCCTTTAATGCTGGATCTACCCGCCCATCGTTCCCACATGCCTGTCAGAGTGTGCCTCCGTTTCCGCCTCGGCTGCGTCAGATAAACAGCACAGTGACAGACATGAAGCGGATCTCGCATTTGTGAGAAATACTACAGTAAGAACTTTCCCAATGATTATTTGATGTATTTGTTGTGGAGTTAATTCAAGCCTTTTTGCAACGATGAGTCACACACAATGTCGTTACAAAGTTCCCACACAGTGCAAAGTTATACGCTCTCTGTGTGTGCCTGTTTTTGCACAGCAAATGTGTCAGGATACAGGTTAATCTCCACTGCTGTGTGGAGATCTGTTATGTTAATGTACAGAATAAACCTGATTTAACGTCCACAAACCAGGATTGAAGTGTCTTCTTTTATAATTGTTCTGACATGCAGCTGTGCTGATAAAGACTGTAAAATCGCCGTAATTCATTAACATGCTCTGTTTTAAACACGTGTGAACTTGTGAATCTCATTTTTGATCACATTTAATGATGACTGATGATCACAGAGAGCTGAACAGATCTTCTTATCCCGCTTGCTTTGTACGCGTTCTGTCTTGTTGATATGATTATATGTGTTACCATGGAGACATGTTAATTAACGGCTGTCAATCAATTCAGTGGGTGCGGAAACCGCACGTCTATGTCACATTGCGGTCAGCCTTAAAATAAGAGGGCTCTGCATGTAACCGTCAGTGTAACCGTACGCTCTTTTGGTCTGCGTTGTGTAGTGTAGTTAATGACGAGAGGACACCGTTTTGAGTCTGCACAGAGAATGTTATTATGAGATCGGCAGCTTCAGCTCATTACATTAAATGTACACTCCTTAGTTCAAGGTAAAGGTGGAAAAGAAAAAGAGAAAACTAGCTCTCACAATTACAAAAACCAGTATGTGAACAGTGACAATATTGTCAAAATAAAAATCATAAATGCATACCTGCACAGAGAATGTTATTATGAGATCGTCAGCTCATTACATTAAGGGCTCTATATTGACGGTCCATGCGCAAAACGCAGGGAGCAAACGCTTTCAGGGCATGTCAGGACGCGTTTTTGCTAATTTAAGGACGGGAAATCTGCCTTGCGCTTCGGCGCATGGTCTAAAAGGGTTGAGTTTATTTTCTTAATGAGTTATAGGTGTGTTTTGAGAATAAACCAATCAGAGTCTCATCTCCCATTCCCTTTAAGAGTCAGCTGAGTTGCGCCATAAGCGCATTCGCTATTTACAGGACGCAAAGTAAGTCTAAGTGGAAAAACTGAGCATTTCACTAGCAAACAGTTCACAGTTAACAGTTTTTTAACAGAAAACAGTTAAACAGCATCTACTGCGTGAGAATGAGAGATAATGGATCACTTTCACTTTCGCTCTTGGATTGGGAAACCTTTACGCACAGACATCAATTAGTCTATAAATAATTAATTTTGTTTGTTAAGCGCAAATATTAGTTTCAAAACTATTTCTAAATTCAGTTCTAATTTCCAGCAAACGAATAAATGAACAATAATAATGAAGTGTGCTCAAAAACCTGAGTTATATCCTAAAACACATGCTGTGCCCCATATGGTCTAAAACCTGACAGGTGGACAAATCTAAGCTTGTTTTTAATAAAACAAATATAAATATGGATATAATAAATAATACTGCTAATAATAATAACATTATACAAAAGCAAATTGTCATGAATGAACTGAAAAAGCCTCCCGAGATGAAGAAGATATAAAAGCAGTGATTTTTTTATATTTATGTAGGCTAGAAAATAATATGTTTTGTAATATTTTAATCCTTTATATTAATATCCTATATCTATTCTTATTATATCCTATATATATCCTTAATATTTAAATTTTTTTATATGTAAAGATATTTGCCTATTGCTCTCTTGTGTGTATTAAGCAGTGTGTAAGCGAGGCGCAACTCCGCCTCAGAACGCCTCCTTTTTAGAGCAGAACGCCTATGAGCGCACAAATGAGAGCTAATGCATTTGCTATTTAAACAGCGTAGCGCAACGCCTCAAAACCACTCTTGCGCCAAGCTGAAACTACCAAAAGACTACTGCGCCACGCCTTGCGTCACACTGCGCCGGGTGTATGATAGAGCCCTTAATGTACACTGTCAACAAAAATAACATTTTTAACGTTTTTACATCAGTAAATATAACAAATGATTTACTTAAATATGTATTTGTGTGTGTGTTAATTATGGCCAGAGCCAAGTTCAATATGGAACAGGTAGAGCATACCTCCTTAGTTCAAGGTAAAGGTGGAAAGACCGCTCAAGCAATAGTGCAACAGGTATGGCTGCTTGGACTATACCACCTTGACGTTAACCCACTTTACAGACTCATTTTACATTTATAATGTGAACACAAAACAATTTTATATGAACAGTAAGTAAACAGGAGGAAAATATAGTGAAATCAATATATCCAAAATAATCCTGTTACATCAGGAGATTAAATAAAGAGGCTTATTGTGTTTCTATCAGCCCAATATGACTGTGGACACACTATACTACACACAGCACTGTCCAAACAGCTCACAATAGATGATTTTCATCATAGCTGCCCTTTAAATCTTAATAAAGGGGGACAATAGGTGCCCTTTAAGCATTTGGAGTTTGTATGATGTTTTAAATGTCTTGACTGTCTTCTGTTCAGAGATCCTGCATGCTATAATAATGTTTATAGTGTTGTGATTAACAATAGGAGCTCACACTGTGATCTGCAGTAGTGTTTATAAATGATTCAGCTCATACTGAAGGTAAATTCACTCCTGATGCTGCGCTGTTGTGTGTGTGTGTGTGTGTATATGTGTGTGTATGTGTGTGTGCGTGTGTGTGCGTGTGTGTGCGTGTGTGTGTAGGTACAGCATTGAGCGTGTGTTCCGGCCTCGTAAGCTGGACCGTGTTCACCCTCGTGAGCTGCTGGAGTGTGCGTTCGACATTATCATCCCCATCAGCAGCTCTCTGATGCCGGACGCCGAGGCCATTTACACCGTCAGTGAGGTCATCCAGGAGTTCAGCGCACTGCAGGTGCACGCACACACATAGTGACACACATGTGCGCACACACACAGACCCACACACTTCTGGAGAATCCATGCTTAATCTGTATCTGTAGAGGATCTGCTGTGTCTGAATGACTGTGTGTGTGTGTGTGTGTGTGTTTCAGGACAGAAACTACACCATTCACCTGAACCACACCAGTCTGCTGAAGGCCATCCTGCTGCACAGCGTAGTCCCAGAGGACAAGCTCACACACGCATCCAATATACTGTGTGACGCCATGGTGAGAAACACACACACAGAGAGAGAGACACACACTCGCATACACACACACACACACACATAGATGGACACACACAATTTTACACTCTTTCGTTGTGTCTGTCACACACGCACACAAAATCATAGACACACACACACACACACACACACACACACACCGTGCACAGATGAAATTAAAATTCTCTTATGATGCTTTTTACATATGCTTGTGTGTTTGTCTGTGTTGCTGTATGTGTGTGTGTGTGCGTGTGTATGTGTGTGTGTCTATGGTTTTGTGTGCGTGTATGCGTGTGTGTGTGTGTGAACAGCGTCAGTAGTGTGCGTCTCAGATTCAGTGTGTCTGTACTGTCAGTAACACAGGCTCTTCTGTAACTGAAGTGTGTTTGTGTGTCTCTTCACCTCCACACACACACACAGAGTGAGAAACTGACCAAGCGAGAAGTGGAAGCCAAGTTCTGTAACCTGTCCCTGTCCAACAACAGCGTAAGTCACTCACTCACATCCAGAGCACCACACCACTCTGCTGTATTGTCTTAAGGGGGAACATCTCTTTATTGAACAGTTGTTTGGGAGCAGCGTGTGAATATACCCCTCTGGCGGCATATGGGTTAGTTTGAGTGAAGCGGCGCAGACGGATCCACAATGCACTTCAGCAACGGCAGTTCGGCAACGCCTGACATCACCCATTCAAAGTGAATGGGAAGCGTTTAAGCTGACGCCCCGTGTAAATGGAGCGTAAATGTTTACTGTTTTAGGTCTGTCAGGATTCCCTAAATGATCTACATTTGCTAAATGCCAGAAAAATGAGAGAATTTCTAGACAGAAGTGTACACACATTTCCTTCGTATTTTTAGCTTTTCTTTTAAACTGTATAACTTTGGTCAAATGTTTTGGGTCTCCTTCCACAAGGTTCTCTCAATAGTTTGCAGGAATTTCCAAGTGGTGCTCGCTGCAGAGCCATTTGAGCAGAGCTGAGCTCCAGCGAGGGGGAGCTTAAGCTTGAGCTCCACCTTTTTTGCACTTCTTCTACGAGTGATGTCACTGGGGGTAGGGTTAGGGGTGGGGTTGGTGTACGCATTAAAACAGCTTAAGCCTAGTTCACACTACAGGATTTTAAACATCAGCAGATCGCTGTGCTGTTCACACTACATGACTTTGTGTCTTTTAATCTCTGAGGTGTTCACACTACGCAACACTCTGTGAATGAACCACAAGAGGGGGGTCACACACTACATGATCTGACAACAACTCATTCCCCATCAGCTCATCTAAGCTACCAAACCACAGCCAATGAAATGTTGAGGGAGGAGTCGTCAGAAAAAGCTGAACACTATTGGCTGCTTGTGTGCTGATGACATCACTGACAGTGTTTCAAGCTTTGGAGAAAGCATTTAAAAACATCGTCAAATCAGCTGATTTATCAGCGCATTAATCACTCATCTGCAGGTTCCAGTGGATAGATACACAGAGAGTTTTTAATTTTTGTAATTTTATAACTCTTTGAAATAAAACTAACATATTTATAACACCCTGCCGCTTTCTAACTATCAGTGTATTTCTTTCTGACATTGTTATTTTTTTTATTACAAAACAGTAAAGAACTGAGCATTTCTGCCTTAAATTACCATATTGGTCAAAATGACTGCATGCATGTCTGATACTTTTCACTGTGACTTTAAATATGTGTGCATTTTCTTGCCTGGCAACTTCCTGCTAACATAAACAAAACTTTCTGATGGCAAAAACATCAATTTACTTCAGATATCTTTAAAAACAGCAGATTCTGTGCCGAAAAGCTCCTGTTTGAAAGTGAAAATGAAAGCCAAGACCTTTAAGTGTTTTAGTATCTTAACTACATATTTATAGGTTGTATTACCAAAAAAGATGATATTTTTAGGGTAATAGTGTCATTAAATATGATGCCAAACATTTAAAGCTTAATTTTAATATCTCAATAATAGCTTTGAATGTAAATATGTTGTGACAATATGGAGTTTCATATGAGAACGGTCAGAATGAGCAGTATGGTAATTCTAATAGTTACAGAATTCTAGTTCCACTGTTAATATAGTCTACTCTCATGTCTGTGCTAACGCAGAATGAAGCGAGTGCACCGATGCCCATTCTGACCAATCACAGATGTTTCTGCTGAGCTCCTGAACACACAGGCGTTCAGCTCATGCTGATCTGCTCTCTCATTGGCTGCAGCTCGTCACTACATCTGACCACACGTGGGGTTGAGTCGGCCGACTGCTCTGGAATATTTAGCATGCTGAATGTTGGATTTCCGTCTGCGAGGTGTCGGCGACGCGTCAGCGAGCCTCGTTGATGCGTTGTTCAGTAGTTCACACATAAAGAGCGCCGAGCACCCGCAGATTTCTTCCCGATCACAGCCCGATCTGTCGACGAGCTCGTTAACCTCCAAATCAGGCTCAAATCAGGCTTAAAATCCTCTAGTGTGAACTAGGCATTACAGGAGGAGGAGCGACAGCTCATGCTCCCCCTCGCTGGAGCTCATCTCTCCTCAAATGGCTCTGCAGCGAGCACCCTCTCGGAATTTCGGCCCATTCCTCCTGACAGAATTGCTGTAACTGAGTCGGATTTGTAGGCTGTCTTGCTTGCACAAGTTTTTTCAACACACATTCTCTATAGCAGGGTTTTTCAAAGTCTAAGACAGTGGGCCTCCCTTTTGACACAACTTATCCATTGGCGCCCCCCTCCTCCCAAACACACACACACACACACACACACACACACACACACACACACACATATATATATATATATATATACAGTATATATAAAGACACAGACAGATGTCAGACTGTTAACTCACTTTTATCATCATTTGCATGAAAGTGCAATTATTTACAGAGTAATAACAAGTATTTTAATATAACGTTTTTAAAACTAGGATGATGGTTCAATATGAATAAAACAGATCCAAGAACTGTCCATCCCAGTCAAAACAGTGGAAATTTAGCGGGTCTCATGCTGTCATTAGCCAAAATATCTTGACAAACCACACATAAAGGTCGTGGTTCATCAGCTGGTCCTGTCCACGTAAATCCTAAACTCAAATACTGATCATCATATCGTCGTCTTTTGGGTTTAAGCCCTGAACTTGAAGGCTTTTGTGGCGAGGGGGCGTGACCGAGAGCCGTGGGAACGGAGTGAGGCCACCGCGTAAGTGGATACACCTGCGGTGCGCACCTGCCTCAGATCCCACGGAAGGAACCCTGGATCATAAAAGGAGGAACGTGGGCAGAGGAAGCCGAGAGAGGACCGGACATATTTTACTTTTGCTTTCAGTTTGACGGCAGCCTCCGTGAGGAGCTGCCGTCCGTTTGTTTTGGTTTAGACGGCAGCCTCCGTATTAAATCACTTAAAAACTGCTTCGGTTCTCCGCCTCCTTCTTCCCGGCGGCCAAAGGGCCGTGAACTTCATTACAGCTTTGAATCGGGGAGGTCTCAGAAACCGACCCATTGTACTAGCAGGCATGTACCTGTATTGGCAGGCTTGCCAAACAGAAGCGAATTCACAGCTATGGCCTTCTGGGTAAAAAAGGTTTTCTTATATTTGACGTATTTTTTTTGCTTTGTTTAATTAAAACGTTTAAATATAATAAAAAATACATATAATAATTAAACTTAACAATTATATTTTTATTATATTATATTTCTTCCCGCGCCTCCCCTGACATGCTCTGGCGCCCCCCAGGGGAGGCGCGCCTCACACTTTGAAAACCCCTGCTCTATAGGATTGAGTTCAGGGCTTTGTGATGGCCACTCCTAAACATTCACTCTGTTTCCTTAAAGCACATTTGAACTCAGTTGCCAGTATGCTTAGGCTCATGGTCTGTCTGGAAGAGCCATTTGTGGCCAAGTTGTAATGTCCTGGCTGATGTCTTGAGATGCTGCTTCAGTGTGTCTCCAAACATTAGTCTGCAGTGTCATTCAGCTAATGGTAATCTGGCTTTGTTTTTGATTCTGACTTCTTGATTTTCTCATGTTGTCACACAGGGAAGCAGTGTGTTTGAGCTTTTCCTTCAATACTATTCTACAGTTGTGCCTCACATTAACTCAAATGTTGTCAATTAGCCAATCAGAAACTTCCAAAACCCTGACATCATCATCCGAGCTTTATCAGAGGCAGAATAATCTTATTGTGTGTAAACTTGACTTTCAAGAAGAGTTAGAACAATTTCCCAAACAATATCTCTCATTATTCTGCTATTAAGCAGAACAGAAACACACGTGATCATCCTCACTTACCTAAAAGAGGAAGAGTTTAGTCACATTAACATCTGACTCTTTTAAATGGTGCTGTGCCTTTTAATACAGCGTATGTACACTTCTGCTTTCAACTGTAGGTGTTAAAATAAGATTTGGCATCAGAAATCATCCCATTTGCTGAAACACAGAGAAAGCTGAGGCCAAATTAAGCCTCAAAATCAGCCCAGAGTGGATGAAGACGACCCAACAGCACACAGGGATCAATGAATGTTGTTGCTCAGGTGTAGAACGTGATGTTTTGGGGTGTGTGTTCAAATGCAGATGCTGTATAAGTGTTGGTGTGTGTGTGTGTGTGTTCAGATGCAGACGCTGTATAAGTTCATCGAGCAGAAGGGTGGTCTGCAGGAGCTGCTGCCGCTCATCAACTCTCTGACCAAACAGAAGAGCTCGGCTGTTTCTCAGATGGCCAAACAGGGCCTGAAGGATCTGGAGGAGCTGCTCAGCCTGCTGAAGAAGCTGACCCTGAAGCTGCAGGTGATGGATTAAGACTGATATGTGCTGAGCATCACCAGCTGTGTTTCCATCCACATATTTTTACGGAGCAGTCACATAAAACTGCTTAATTGGGGTGTCCCCGAGGTCCTAAAAAGTCGCGCGCACACTATACTAACCGAACCGTGCCCATGCCCGTTTCCCAGATCGTTTGAAAAGTGGGAGTGCTTTAAGCCAAATGTTAAATTCCCTGATTTTTCCCCTACACTAGTGTTTATTTTAGTGCATTTGGTGTTTATTTTAATGCATTTTGATGCATTTATTTTAATGCATTTTTTTGATGCATTTATTTTGATGCATGCATTTGGTGTTTATTTTTATGCATTTTATTTTTGTTTTAATGCATTTGGTGTTTATTTTGTACATTTGGTTTTTATTTTAATGCATTCGGTGTCTATTTTGATGCATTTGGTGTTTATTTTGATAAAATATATTTATAATTTATTTCGGTTCAGTCGGCTCGGCCTTGTTGGAAGAGGTGTGCCAGAGCGCGGTTCACTTGGACTCAGCGGTACGCTTGTAGTGTGTGCTAATTGCACACATGCCCAGAACTGAAGACGAGATGTGACTTTTTTTATATGGAGTTATTAATAATTCTTACTGTTCAATGAATACAAACTGTCAGACCGCAATATAATACAAACTGTACGGGTCGTTCACATATCATATGACAAGCACTTCTCACAACACAGATGCTTTACACGCATAAATACTGTATAAATATTCATTATTAACCTTTCTATCAACATGATCTGATTAGAACTGCAGATCAATGACGAAATGGCGAAATAGCCTACTGTAACATCTGTAACTATATAAAATAAATATATAAATGAACATTAGGGGAGTAACGATTTATCGTTGTACGATTTATGGCAATGCAAAAATGTCACAATATGCATGGTGGCGTTATGACGATTTGATTACGATATGACGTCCGTTTTCTCTTATTAGTTGAGCTGTTTGCACGTGAGCTACGTTTCACCTGCTGTCGCACGTGAGTTCAGATTGCAGCAGCAGTAATGTTAGCAGACCAAGATGAGTGAAGCTGAAATAGAGGATGGCCCATCCTCTCAAAATCAGACGTCTGGCAACATTTCGGTTGTACAGTCATTGCTTTAGACTCGTCCGCTTTTTGACACGCATACTGGGTCAATCATAGCCGAAGTTTTAAAGTCTTCACAGTGATTTACATACTTTGCACAGCGACATGGATACCTCCTAATGCTGTTGAAAGAGTCACATACTGTAATTATAAGGTACAATTCACCCTAAAATATCATTCTGTCTTCATATACTGATGTATTGGCGACCGCAAAATCACACATGACGTGAGCTGACCGAAAGCTGTTACTACAGAGGGCGGACTGTGATTGACGCGCGCGTATGGCAAGCCGTTTTAGCATTCAAACCTTTGTTCTGACTATCCATAAATATATTTTGAGATATCTCTAATTATATTTTGACTAGTCATAATTATAATTCGACTAGTCAGAATGACAATTAGACATATCTGCAATTACAATTGTACTAGTACGAAATCAGATTGGAGATATCTGCAAATATATTGTGACTAGTCATATTCCTCCATTGACTTCCATTGAAAAATATTTGCAGATATCTCTAAATGAGTTTTGACTAGTCACAATTGTAATTAGAGATATCTCTAAATGAATTTAATTAAATATGAATTAAATACCTGGAAATGTGGATTTTTTTTGCACACACAAAAAACGCAAGTGACCAAGCAAAGCCTTAAGCTCTTACTGTTAAATTCAATTGAATAGAAAGCTTATTTTTTTTGCACTTTTACTTAAATTGTTCCTTAATTTTGTCTCTGTCATTTTGATAATATTTTTAAGAAGTTTTTAAATTGTTTTATTTTCCAGAGACAGGCCTGTTTAATTTATTTCCTTAAAGAAGGTTCAGTTTAACAAGTTGAAACAAAAGAAATACATTAAAAATAGTTTACTTGGTAAAATTTGCATTTCAGTTTAATTTTCAATTTTTATTCCAAATATCGTGATGCATATCGAATCGTGAACATTTATATCGTGATGCACATCGTATCGTGAGCTGAGTGTATCGTTACACCCCTAATGAACATATATGAACACATACAGACCCTTACAGTCTCCATATATATTACCAACTACAGAAGAACACAGCAGACATTTAGTCCTTATTTAGGATCAAAACCAACAGGAAATATAGGCCACAGTCAGCGCAGATCTCTCATCTGAATGTCGTATGCAGTATTTTGCACTCGCTCAGCTATAGTAGTGTGTGTTGTTGTGTGTTTTGCAGGTGGTGGTGAATCTGGGTTTGGTCTATAAGGTCCAGCATCACTGCGGCGTCATCTTCCAGTTTGTGGCATTCATCAGGAGACGGAAACGAACCGTTCCTGATATCCTGGCGGCCGGAGGACGCTACGATCACCTGGTAACATCAACACTGATAAACTGACCAAACCTGAACTGTTTTAACAGAACAAATCTGAACATTTCAATATTTTAATACAACAAAACCAACCCATATTTACCTGTTCATTAACAGGGCTCGAAATTAACTTTTTTACTTGGTAGCACCGGTGCTCCCAACTTCAAATATTTAGGAGCACCAGAAAAAATTTAGGAGCACCCACCAAAAATGAATGAGCACCGCTGCAAATAGTTTTTTAAGGGATTTATTGTATTTTAAAACAACATCAATTAGGACTAACAAAAAACAGAAACAACTATCTAACTAATGCTGCGAAGACATTGATATTTGTGTGCAATAATTCCAAAATGAATGTTGAATAATTCTAGAATATTAATGATGATGAAAATGACAATAATAGTAACAATGAATACATTTCTCATTATGATGCTGCCTTGAACGTGCATGAATATCTGCTATAAAAAGTCTGTTACTTTATGAAAAATAAATTTATAGTTTGCATCAAACAAAAATGAAGCATTGCAGTAAGAAATATTGATTTTGTGCTGCTGTTTTTATATGCATGTCAATTTAATAAATAATATTTCTGCTACAAAACAAACAAAAGATTATAATAAATCATTCAATTCAATGATGAAAGCTGCAAAGCAGTCATCAGTAAATAAATAAAAATAATAATATACACCTCAAGAAAGAATAGACAAGAGAAAGTAAGTAAAGTCTCACTTCTATCACTCTTGAAAAGTTTTGGTTTCAGTTTGTGTCAATTTAAAGGTTCAGTCTGAGATGATCTTCATGTTTCTGTGTTAGAGGAAAAGCAGGCGAGTCAGCCGACCCAATTTATGAGCAGGCAGCGCAGGATTCTCTCGATGACCACCGGCGCAATACCGGTCTTTGTTATGATGAGCCGCAGTTTCAGTGTAAACTTAGTAAAGGCGAGCTTCTTTGGCGATGATGCAGTATTAGATTTGACTTTTATCGGACATTTGCGCTGAACACGCAGTGAACGCAACGCATCGAGATTCGGGCACCTTCTCTGAAAAGCACGTACTCGATTGATCTCAGCTGGCGGATCAATATTCACCACATGTCATGATCGCTCTCATCTGCGCCTCAACTTTAGGTGGAGTTTGCAAACCTGCGTGCTTTAAGTTTTCACTCTTCAGCCCTTTGTATTTCCCGTGGTCATAAAAGCTCCTTCCCTGTCATCTGACAGCGGAAAACCTTGAGTGATTGACAGCTAATATGAACCAATGTATCGGCAGGGAAGAGCGATTCAGCACGTTTTTACAAAAAAATCAAAACAGGTCGCACTACAACCATTATCTGCAGTCGCACTAATGCGCCCAAATATATTATGAGGTCGCATAGATTAATTTTTGGGCGCATATGCGACCAAACTGGTCGCAATTTCGAGTCCTGATTAATGATTATCACATTAGTTACATTGTCAATAAGAAATAAAACATGGAATAAAATTAGAGAGGTCAACTATTGCAGCATATGTTATGCCCCACGGATGCACTACCAGCTGCAACCCAGCACTGGGAAACACCCATACACACTCATTCACACACACACACACACTACTGACAATTTAGTTGATCAGTTCCCCTATAGCGAATGTGTTTGGACTGTGGGGGAAACCGGAGCACCCGGAGGAAACCCACGCCAACACGGGGAGAACATGCAAACTCCACACAGAAACACCAACTGACCCAGCCGAGACTCGAACCAGCGACCTTCTTGCTGTGAGGCCACAGTGCTAACCACCCAAAACCAACCGATGTTTCCCTGTTTTAATAGAACAAAAAACATTTAAATGAAAAAAAATTATTGAAATAATGCGTGTGTGTGTGCGTCTGTGTGTGTGTGTGTGTGTGTGTGTGTGTGTGTGTTTCCTCTTCAGATCCATGAGTTGCGTGGGCCGACAGTGTCTGGTGTGGTGCCGTCAGCAGTGGGCGCCAGCTTGGCTCTGGATAAGATCTGCTCTGCTGTGTCCAGCATGGAGGAGCCG